AAGTAGGCTTCATCCCTGGGTTGCAGGGATGATTCAACATATGAAAATCTATCAACGTGATCCACCATATAAACAAAGTGTAAAAGAAAAACCACATTATCATCTCCCTAGATGGGGAAAAATCCTTTAACAAAATTCAACACCCTTTCATGATAAAGGTCTTGGAGAGATCAGGGGTAACATGAACATACATAAACATAATAAAAACAATATACAGTAAACCAACAGCCAATATCAAACTGAATGGAGAGAAGCTTAAGGTGATTCCTCTAAAATCAGGAACAAGACAAGGCTGCCCTCTCTCCCCATAGCTCTTCAATATTGTTCTTGAAGTTCTAGCTAGAGCAATAAGACAACAAAAGGAGATCAAGGGGTACAAACTGGAAAGGAATAAGTCAAACTGTCACTATTTGCAGATGATATGGTAGTTTACATAAGCAACCCAATAAACTCTACCAGGTAACTCCTACAGCTGATAAATGTAAGGAGTAGGGTCTTTCTGTCCACTGCCTGGTCTTGTCCCGCTGCCGCGCCAGCCCCAAATAACACACAGAGGCTCTGTATTAGGTATAATTCTATTGGCCCGGTACTAGTTTCTTATCGGCTAGCTCTGTCTTAAGTATTAACCCATTTCTGTTAATCTAATATTTCCATGTGGTTTCTCTTACCGGGGAGCCAGCCTGCATTCTGCTTTCTCCTGACTCTCCATCTTGACTCTTCCTCCCTACTTCCTCTCCTCCTTATCTCCTGGGCCCTCCTATCTTCCTTTCCTGTTGGCCAACAGTGCTTTATTCATTAACCAGTATGAGAAACATATATACATAATGACATCTCCCATCAGATAAACACCTTCAGCAAACTAGCAAGTTACAAGATGAACTCAAAGGGAAAAAAAATCAGTAGCCCTACTTTATTGAGACGACAAAGGGGCTGAGAAAGAAATCAGAGAAACATCACCCTTTACAATAGCCACAAACAACAAAAAGTATCTTGGAGTAATGCTTACCAAGCAAGTGAAAGACCTACATAATAAGAACTTTGTGTCTTTAAAGAAAGAAATTAAAGAAGATGCCAGAAAATGGAAAGATCTCCCATGCTCTTGGATAGGTAGGATAAACATAGTAAAAATGCCAATCTTGCCAAAGCAATCTATAGATTCAATGCAATACCCATTAAAATCCCAGCACAATTCTTCACTGACCTTGAAAGTATAATAGTCAACTTTATATGGATAAACAAAAGACCCAGGATAGCCAAAACAAACCTGTACAATAAAGGAACTTCAGGAGGCATCACCATCCCTGACTTTAAGCTCTACTACAGAACTATAGTCCTGAAAATAGCTTGGTATTGGCACAAAAATAGACAAGTAGACCAATGGAATCACATCATAAATCCTGATATTACCCCATGTACCTATGAACACCTGATTTTTGACAAAGAAGCTAAAAGTATATAATGGGAGCAGGAAAGCATCTTCAATAAATGGTGCTGGTACAACTGGATGATGGTGGTAGAAGACTGCAGGTAGACCCATGTCTATCCCCATGCACAAAACTCATGTCCAAATGGATCAAAGACCTCAACATCAATCCAGCCACACTGAACCTCTTAGAAGAGAATGTGGTGTGTACCCTTGAACAAATTGGTACAGGAGACCACTTTCTGAATATAACTCCAGTAGCACAGACACTGAGATCGACAATTAATAAATGGAACCTCCTCAAACTTAGAAGATTCTGTAAGGCAAAGGACAAAGTTGACAAGACCAAATGGCAGCCCACAGACCACAGACTGGGAAAAGATCTTCACCAACAGAGGGCTGATCTCCAAAATATACAAAGAACTCAAGAAACTAGTCAACAAAACACCAAATAACCCTACAGAACTGAATAGAGAACTCTCAATAGAGGAAATCAAAAAGGCTGAAAGACACTTAAGAAAGTGCTCAACATCCTTACCTAACAGGGAAATGCAAATCAAAGCAACTTTGAGATACTGCCAGAATGGCTAATATTAGAAACACCAATGACAACTTATTCTGGAGAGGATGTGGAGAAAGGGGAACATTCCTCCACTCTTAGTGGGAGTGAAATCTTGTACATCCATTTTGGAGATCAATATGGCAGTTTCTCAGGAAAATGGGATCAGCCTACCACAGGACCAGAACAATCCCCCTTTTAGGCATATATCCAAATGATCCACATCCATGCAACAAAGACATGTACTCAACTATGTTCATAGCAGCATTATTTGTAATAGCAAGAACCTGGAAACAACCTAGATGCCCCTCAACTGAAGAATGGATAAAGAAGATGTGGCACATTTACATAGTGGAATACTATTCTGTGGGAAAAAAAGACAATGGAATCTCGAAATTCACAGGCAAGTGGATGGAACTTGAAGAAACCATCCTGAATGAGGTAACCCAGCCACAAAAAGAGGAACATGGTATGTACTGGCTCATTATTGGATTTTAGACATAGAGCAAAGGATCACCAGCCTATAATCCACACCACAAGAGAATCCAGGATACAAGGAGGATTCTAAGAGATTCATATAAGGTCCCTCACAGAAGGGGAAAGGAACAAGATCTCAGGAGCATATGGGGAGTGGGGAGGCAGTGAGTGGAGAGGGAACTAGTCTGAGATTTTATGCACATTGGTTATTGTAGGGTACAGGTCAGATAGATATCAAATATTTCCTTCCTGATCTAAATGCAAAAAATAGATAAAATATGACACCCCTCTGCCATGTGATATGATAAAACCTGAAAAAATTTGAGGAAAATGTGACAGTCATTATTGTAGGATAATACACTTCTTAATGTTCCCAGTTTTCAATACTGATGTTTGGGAAATTACCTTTCATCAGTACTCTTATAAGGAAAAACATGCAACCTAAATCAGTAATCCAGTATCTGTAGGGATAAAGAGAAAGGATGAGTACTAAGAAGGGAGAAGAAGAGTAGGGGATTATGGTTTAGTGTTCAGAGCTACCTTGAAGAGGAAATCATTCCGAAAATCTCCATGTACTTTTTGCAATGCAAGGTGAGTGTCCCTAAGGCCACCAGCATGTGTCATGACACAGTAAATATGGTATCTTTGAAATAATGCTGTGTTGTTACGATGAAGAGTGCCAGGTAGGGGGTGCTTCTCGAGGGCAGCTCAATGTAATCTCCAAAAGAAAAGCCAGTGAGTACAGGAGACACACTCACAGCAGGCTATTTGTTTCCCTTTTATAGCTCAGCCTTGAGCATCACTTTCCTCCTTGGGTGTCACACTCTCCTAAAGATTCTTGTGAGATCCAACTGTGTTGCACTCCAACAAGGGGAAAAAGAGCATCCCAAGGTCTGTGTTCTCACAGGATCCGACCATAGCTGTAAACTATATACAAAACAGAATAGGATATTTTGGCTAAGCCCACACCAGGAATAGTAGGCAAAACCTCCTGTTCCAAAATGCAAGGGTACATCAAACATCTTTTCCATGGAGCACCATCAGAAAGCAAAATATCCAGCATAATGTGATCTAAGACCTACAGGATGGCTATCTAACTTCCTTTGACAAGGTTCATAAATTCAGGTTCCTGCTGTCCACAGAGGTATCCCACAGCTATGCCAGAGGGACAGTAAGAGATTACATCTCAGAAAGAGCCTCAAGTACTAGTGTCTGGAGGCTTAATCCTATCACCAACATAGCCAACCAAAAGGAGCAAATGATTGAGGAGCAGTTCCATATATACTTGGGATTGATAGCATGGGTAAGTGGTTCTTGGGTCAGATTCTGGAACCTCAACAACCTCTGAAGAGCTGAGTCTGTGGAGTGTACTGAGGTAGTAGTTGTCACCACAGGCAGGTAAGGTCCTGTCTTTGGCAAGACAGAATGGGAGGTGACTTTGAGGGGTGCTTTAAGAGACCACAGGGAAAATCAGGTAAATGCCAAAGAATATATTCTAAGCTAGAGAAACCCTGGTGTTTGTAGGCGTATTGGAGTAGGTGGGAGAGGGAAAGAGGAAACCATGTCCTTCTAAGTCTATGTTTGTATAGGGTCCAGTTAAGCAAAAGTCTGGGTCTGTCCACAGAGATTTACAGCTGGTCCTTTCAATGCCAATCACTATCACTGGCATCTGCTGGTCCAATAGAGAGCAACTCTTGCACGTAGTCACAGAATGCATCTGTCTTCATTTGACATGTTCAGATGTAGTAGCCGGTAGTACGTTCCTATCAGGTCCTATGTGGAGTGTTGCTCTAGAGTTCCAGCAAGTGCAGAATCTGATATCCCACTATCAACTTGCTATTGTAGTCTAACTCTTCTCTTGGTTCTAGCTTCCTGATCATTTTTCAAGTGACATTATTTTTATCTGGGTAGTGAATTGGGAGTTTGATGGTGTTGTCCCAAGGGTAGAATGCAAGGAATAGTAAATTATTCTTCCAACATTCTTATAGGAGACATTTCACAATGTTTCATTGAAGAAGGGTGGGTTAAAGACAAAACCACTACTTGTTGTATATTAGAAAGGCATACAATGCCATGTGGCTTCAACTCTTGGGCTCACATTGAAATTAGAATCTAATATCACATGATAGAAGTTTTGCTTGATACAGGTCATAAGTCAGCGATATGCTAAGACAATGGTTGCTTTTTGCCTCTTTTCCTCACAGTGAGTGGAGACCTTTCTGAAATAAGATGCAGTTCACCTGAAGTTTTTATTGATAGAATTCTGGGCACATGCTCTGCATTTTGTATTGGATCTAACAAACACCAGTGGATGACTTAGTTCACACACATCCTCAGCCTTTTCTACAATCTTATAAAAAGTATTTGGAGGCTAATTTAAAAGAATGTTATGGATCATGGACGACTTGGCTTTTCAGGGAGGAGTTAGAAGTCATTTTAAAAAGCATTGGTATATTTCTGTCTTCATTTTCTCTTCCTAATCTAGGTTCTTGAGACATGAATCCCGCTGTCTTACTGGTCATCCTGTGCTTAGGAGTTACGATGGGCGCCTCAGCACTTGATCCCAACTTGGATGATGAATGGAAAGAGTGGAAGATGAAATATGGAAAATCATACAGCCTGGTTGGTAACCTGTAAACTGTCCAGAAGGGCGCCCAGAGTGCAAGTGTTTAGGCGTATTAGGGGGCCATAGATGTCCCAGCACAACGACCACCACTGAGAGATGACATAATCACAATCGTTGGGAGCACAGGGTAGCCAGATCCCCCCTTTCCTTGCAATGTGGAGACTGTGTGGCTATCGTGTCCCAGAGCAGCTCTCCTTGGGCTCTGATCACCTGCAGCAGCGAGGTCAGCTCATGCAGGAGTTTAATTAGAAAAAAAGTCACACACTCTGTTCTTACCCAGGAGGAAGAAGCCCTGAGAAGAGCAGTATGGGAGGAAAACATGAAAATGATTAAACACCACAATGGGAAGGATGGCCTGGGTAAGAATGGCTACACCATGGAAATAAACGAGCTTGGTGACATGGTGAGTGTAGCGTGGATTGCTTCATGCTGTGTTCTCCCGAGAGCCCTTCATGGAGTCTTTTCCCTTATAATCATTTGTGTGCTTTTCCTTGAAGACTGATGAAGAGTTCAAGGACACGATGATTGGTTCCCCAATGAAAAAGCACAACACGGGGCGAGGCCTCTGGAAACGTTCTCTTGGCGGTTTACCCAAATCTGTGAACTGGCGAAAGAAAGGCTACGTGACCCCTGTGCGGAGACAGGTATGATGGCGCCACCTGCCCTTCTTAAACCACCAGAAGAGGAAAAAGCCTTGGTTTCTCTGTTTCATATTGAACGAGGAGAGGTTTGCAGTTCATGTTTTAAATATTTTTTTTCTTTGAAATCTTCATACATTTTCCAATGTGTATTGTTCTCGACAGACCGCCAAACACATTCTCCAGCCTCATCTCACGGCAGAATTCATATCCCTTCTGTTGTCATTAACAGCCCATAAAACCAATAAGTACTATGCAAATGTTTGTGCACGTGTGTGTTTGTGTGCATGTGTTTGTGCACATGTGTGTGTTTGTGTATATTTTTGTGTGTGTGTGTGTGTTTGTGTGCCTGTGTGTTTGTGTGTGTGTGAGTGTGTGTGTGTAACTACAAGTTCTTCACTTTCACAAGGCTGTCTGTGCTGGTGCTTGGGTTGGTACTTGTTTCTGAATGACTGCATTTTCTCCTCTGTGTAGGGTAAATGCAGCGCTTGTTGGGCTTTCTCTGTAACTGGTGCCATAGAAGGACAAGTATTCCAAAAAACAGGCAAACTCACCCCTCTGAGTGTGCAGAACCTGTTGGACTGTTCTAAACCTCATGGCAATAACGGCTGTGATACGGGTAATACATACAATGCTTTCCAGTATGTTTTGCACAATGGAGGTGTGGAGGCTGAGGCAACCTACCCATATGAAGGAAAAGTAAGTGAACCTTGTATGTTGTTGTTTCAGTTCAACTTGGAGTGAGGGACAACTATAGATATAATACACTCTTTAGTACTCAGACTAGATGGTAGAATCTCTCCGAATGTCATCAATGCAGTCGTTAAATATCATCCTTTGCATAAATTTTTGGTGTGATGATTTCAGTGTATCTTTCTTGTACGCACTTGGGGAATATAGAGACCATTACACATCTACTACAGATCTCTGCAGAACAAAAATGTCTTGTGGATAGGAGCACCTTTTGGTTGTCATTGAAGACAAGATACCTATTCCCAGTTTCAGATCTCTTAGTAGAATTTCCCTTCCTGGGATGATTTACAATAGCCCAGACGTGAATGTCCTCAGCTGCCAAGGGCAGAGTGTTGTGGTTGTGACTCTTGTTCCCAGGATGTGGGTGGAAGAAACTGAGTCTCTTCTCTCTTTACTTTTTAAAGGATGGACCTTGCAGGTATGATCCTAAGAATTTATCTGCTAAAATCAAAACATTTTTGGCCCTCCCAGAACATGAGGATATCCTAATGGATGCTGTAGCAACTAAAGGACCCATTGCTGCTGGAGTTGACACGTCTCATAATTCTTTCAGGTTCTACAAGGAAGGTTAGTATATTTCATTCTAGATATGAAGAAAAAAAAGTGACATCTCTATGCCATGACAAGTTCTCAGACTGACCGCTATATAAAAACTGTGATGTGAATGTTTAGGCTTCTGGATTTTACTCATCTTTATGTAAAAGTCCTGAGAACTGAATTTCATCTGACAGGAGTCACCGCATGAAAGTTACTGGGTCTTTTCTAATACAAGTTATTGCTTAGCCAGTTCTTCAGCTCTCCTCCATTTTGTGGATGTTTTGGTTATTTATAGATTGTCTGAAATCAAATTATGACAGAGACTTTGGATTAAATAATTTGTGTCCTGTAAGTTTAACTTGGCATGAGACACTAGTAGCAAAACTATACAGTTCTAAGGAGTCATTTCATATGCACATAGACAATAGCTACCAATAAATCTCACTACTTTGGATTTTTCTATGACACTGTGTGTGTGTGTGTGTGTGTGTGTGTGTGTGTGTGTGTGTGTTAGGATCCTTGTGAATACTTCATCCCACTCTGAAGTCTGACTGTAGTTTATATCACTTCTGGGATCGTTGGCTCCACTCACAGTCAGGTGTCCTGTGCCTCTCACACCAGCTTCCATTTTATTTCTCAGGTATTTATCACGAGCCAAATTGCAGCAGTGATACCGTCAATCATGCAGTTCTGGTGGTTGGTTATGGATTTGAGGGAAATGAAACAGATGGGAAAAACTACTGGCTGATCAAGAACAGGTAAAAATTGACCCCCTAAAGTCTGTATTTGAAATTTCCTGGGCTAGAGAAGTAATTCTGTGGCTAAGGGCATCCAGGAGATTCTCAAAGAGATTGCAAGTTGCAGTCTGTGTTTTGATACACAATGTAGAAAACTGTGTTTTGTTTAAGTTGAACAAAATCTTTTCTCACTGTCCTATGCACATGTGTGAGGAGGCATGTTTGCCTGTCTGCATATCTATAGACATGTTTATGCAAGCGCACATGTGTAGAGGCCTCATGTTAACATCAATTGTTTCCCAATCATTATATAACTTCTATACTAAAGCAGTGTTTCTTGCTGATCTAAGAGTTCACTGTTTATTCTAGCTAGCCAGCTTGCATTAGGTATGTTCTGCGTCCATGTCCTAAGAACCCAGGTTAAAGGCACACTACAATGTCATTCTGGCTTTTCAGTGGCTCTTGAAACTGATACCACCTTACACTTATAGGTGTAAGGACTTACTCATAATATATTATCATAGAATTTCCATTCCTTCAGTGGTTTCTAGGGCATCAATATTATATATGTGTCATTGATTTTCTAAAATGTGACACATTTGATAGTTCTGAAACATCTATGAATAGAAAGGCATTCTAATGTGATTTTCACATTCCTGTGTGAGGCACACTTAGTACTCAGGAATAGACCCTCTGCTTTTCTTGATCATTTTGTTAAGTTGACTTCTTGCCATTACTAGTATTGTAATAAACCCATCACATGGTAATCTTTTTACTAAATGGAAAACATGATTTTTTTTTCAGCTGGGGTAAAAAATGGGGCATGAGGGGCTACATGAAAATTGCCAAGGACCAGAACAACCACTGTGGAATTGCTTCATTTGCCCAGTACCCTATTGTGTGAACAGCCTAATTGCCCACAAGGGAGCACTTGGCAGGAGACAGCATTTCCCGAGGGGTGCCATCCACTTCAATGACCAACAATTGCTTCATGTGTTGAGCCCCTCAAGATGAACACTGCCATGTGAATTTTGAGAGCTTTCAAATATTTGAAATTATAAACTTCATAACTGTCCTTGTAACTAATGACAGTTTGTGATTCCTGCAGTAACTTTATTTTTACCTTTTAATGCTTGTGCAAATAAAATCCTTTAAAAATTAAAATGCAAGTATCATTTCTAGCTTCTTTGTCTTTTTATGCAGTGACTTTTTTGGGTTTAAACATGCAATTCACCTTGAAGTTGGGGTTGAGTGTTGTTCGGTGTTTGGACAAAAGAGTGGGTGGGTGTTGCAGGTGACCCTGCTTGGACAACCCTGGGAGTGAGAAGATGCAGCACCAATAACTCAAGCATTGGAAGTTGGTGAGCAGCAGAGTGTGCTCACTTATTAAGAAAGTTAGGCTGCCTTTATACCCTTTCCAAGGTCCCACTGCTCAGTCTGCTGACTCTGCTGGGTTGTCCTATTATCATTGGTGTCTCTGGTCAGACATCTCTTTGTCATCAGTCTCTGGGCATAGAGGCAGGCTTGGCTCAGGAAGGAAGTACCTGCCGTTTATGCTCATGCAAGCTGGCCTGGGCACCTGGACAGGGCAACTGTGGCTTGAGTAGTCTGGTAACAGTTTTTCCTACAGGTGGATCCTCTATAATGTATGGTAGTTTTCATTGTTGTTATTTGCTTACAGAGTACTGTTTATGCACCAGAAACCATGCACCAAAAGACTCTATGACATTTCTGGACTTGACATTTTTAGCTGACACGAATTCACCCACTGGTGGGAGATGTCATTCTGTAAATATGGTTCTCTTATTGGTTAATGAATAAAGCACTGTTGGCAAATAGGAAGGCAAGATAGGCGGGGCTAGGAGACAAGGAGGATTCTGGGAGATGTAGTAGAGAGGAGTCAAGATGTAGGATGTAAGAGAAGAGATCCAGATCCTCTCTCTGGTAAGGCAAGACCACGTGGAAACACTTAGATTAATAGAAATGGGTTGATACTTAAGAAAGAGCTAGCCAACAAGAAAAGCTAGTAACAGGCCAACAGTTTCATATCTAGTACCTCATCTTTGTGTGTTATCTGGGGCTGATGCAACTCTGGGACTGCACGTAACAACCCGGTTTCAATTTGTGTTCCCATTTTGCTGTGCAGTGGCACCATGTGCTGCTCCAGTACATTAAACTGGGCCGTGACTCTCTCATGTTCATTAATTTACTGTGTATTAGCATTCACCAACACCCAACACCCCTATTACAGTGGGCACTGGTACATGCAACAGAGATGAAGCACAAGACAAATAATTGGAAATAGCCTTTATAATTATGATAGAATTTCTTAAAGGAGGAACAGTGGAAGTAAAAGAATAAAACATACGTAGACAGAGGTTTCTGTGCCACCTTGTCCTGCAGCTGTTCAGTCCGAAATAAACACACAGAGGATTATATTAATTATAAACTGTTTGGATGATGGCTCGGGCATCTTATTGGCTATCTCTCTCTCAATGATAAACCCACGTCTATTTATCTATGTATCTCCACATGATCTAGGCTTACCAGGGAATGTCCAGGCATCCTATCCTCATGGTAGCTACATGGTGTCTTTCTCATTACTCATCCAAGAATTCTCCTAGTCTGGTAGTCCTGCCCACACTTCCTGCCTGGCTACATCCTGCCTGTCCATTGGTCAAAGCAGCTTTATTCATCATCCAATAATAGAAACACATATTCATAACATACAGAATGACATCCCCTATCAAAAGTAGTTCAAGACTTAAGAATAGAAATAGAATCAATAAATAAAGCTCAAACAGAGGGAAGGCTGAAAATTTAAAATTTAGGAACTTGAACATGAATGAACCTCAGAGAAAGGCGCATGAACAGAATGTCAAAGAAGGAAGAAAAAATAACTTAAGAAATTGAGACTATATAGAGAAAATAGATACCCCCAACCAGAGAAAACATTGAATCTAAAAAGTTCCACGCACAAAACATACAAAAAGTCTAGAACACCATAAAAAGACCAAATGCAAGAATAATAGGAATAGAGGATGGGGAGATGGTATGGTGAATGGGAGGACAAGAGGGGGGGGGGAGGTGGGATTGGTATGTAAAATAAAATTTTTTTAATTTAAATAAAATTAATTAAAATTAAATCATTAAACAAAAACATAATTGGCAACCAGACTTAAGCAATAATAAATGTCTGACCAAAACAAGTCTACCCCTCCACTCATAAATAAATACCAGGGCCAGATGACTAACTGAGAACTTCTAGGAGAACTTTTGAAATTAACATTAACGATACTCAATTTATTACACAGAATATAAATGAAGCTTCCAAAAAGAGTTTGCTATTTTCAAAATGAAGTTATAATTACATAATTTATTCCTTTCCCATTATTCCTTCAGCACCTAAGCTCTTTACTCACTCATTTTCTCTCACATTCAAGTCCCTCATTCTTTAATTGCCAAATGAATTATGAAACCAATATTATCCTGGGACCAAACTCAGATAGAGATTCCTCAACAACAACAACATCAGCAGCAAAAATTAAATCTCTAAGCTACAAAGGTTCTAAAAGTTGTCAATAAAATACTGGCAAATTCAAAGACCTATCAAAAATATCACTTATCATGTCTTCATTCCAGAGATTTAGAGGGAGACCAACATATGAAAACGTTAACAATTACATATAATGATTCAAGACAGAACTCACAAAACATCTCCCTTTGAGAAAACCTAACATCATTTTTATTATTATATGTTATATTAGTATTATAGTAGCATTACATATTACATAGTAATATTATTATAGTAGTAGTGGTAGAGCCACACTAAACACAATAAATGCTATGTATATCTTGCTTAATGTCAACACCATTGTAAATGGAAAAATGTTCAAATGGGTCACGCTAAGACCAGGAAAAAGACAAGCGTGAATACGCTCTCCTCTCCTTTTCAAAGCAGTGTAAAGCAGAAAGACCAGAGGATGAAATGAAAGTGACAAAGGCAGGAAAAGAAGTTAATGAAGTTCTGTTAGCAGTCATTATTGTTATACACAAAAAATAGCCAAACAATTATACAGAAGTACCTGGACCTCATAAAGACTTGCAGCAAATGGTGAGATACAAAATTAACATACAACTCTCTTGGCTTCTTCTGCATCAGGGAATAAATAGAAAACAAAGGAAATATTGCCATTCATATGGTAATAAAACATATCATACTTAGGGATATAACAACAGGATAAACATGTACAACAAAAAGTTTAAGACAGCACAAAAACACACAAAGATGGGCAAACCCACCAAGATTATAAATTTGAAAAGTTGTGTAAAAGTGGCCATCACTCCATAAGCACTGTACACATTCAATGAAACCAACCAAAACTCCAGGATTATCTATCTCAAACATGAATACAAAATCCAAAACATATATTGATTCACAAAGGGACAAGATGGCAAAGACAATCTTGAACCAAAAGAATGTTTTGAGCAGTATCATCCTTCCTGATTTCAAATTAAAGTACAGAACCATAGAAATACAAACAGCATGGTATAAATCAAGGGGAAAGAATATAGAATCCAGATATAAATACAGAAATACAGAAGCTAAACCAATGTAGCTTTCACAAAGATTCTCTCTCTCTCTCTCTCTCTCTCTCTCTCTCTCTGTGTGTGTGTGTGTGTGTGTGTGTGTGTGTGTGTGTGTGTGTGTAAGAAAATACAGCAACCTCAACAAATGATGGTGGAAAATGGAAAAACACTGATAGAAAATGAAATTGGATGTTTATATCTTACTCTGAACAGAATTCAGTTTCAAACAGATCAAAGATCTCAACTTAAACCCTCATGAATGGAAACTTTCAGAGAAGAGTAGGATATAAACTTCAACCTAGCAGTGCAGGAAAGGCCTTTCTAGATAGGACTGTGTAGTACAGGAACTAAGAGCAAGTGCTTACAAAGGGGGCTTCTTTAAGTTATAGTTTCCATGCAGGAAAGGAAAGTGTCAGTTGAGTGAAGAATCATCCCACACAGTGAGAGAAAATACTTGCTGGCTTTACATGCAACCATGGATTAGTGTTTTCAATATGCACAGAACTTAAAAATAACATACAAGAAAACCAACCAATTAGAAACAAGGGCTTTGACCCTTGATTTGGTGTTCTCAAAAGAAGAAATAGAAATGGCTGATTATTGTTTATTGTTTATTTAAGCCACTTGAGATCAAAATAGCAAAGCAGTCATGCTAGTTAGCCATAGAAGCCAGGTACACACTTTTAATTCTAGGACTCAGGATTAAGACAGACAGATCTCAGTTAGTTAAAAGTCACACTGACTACACAAAATGTATCCAGTCCTAAAAAATAAAGCTCACACAAAGGTGTTCTCTGCACCTGGGATCACACACCTTTAATCCCAGCACTAGGGAGGTGGAGACAGGAGAAAATGGATAAGAAAGAATGGAATATAAGGAGGAGGAGACAGGAATTAAGAGACTTTTGCCTCTGAGGATTTGTGGAGACAGGATTGCCATTTCAGCTGGGTAGAGGTAAGATCTACTAGCTTGGCTGCTTTGAGTCTGTGATCTTCAGTTTGAAGCTTGAACTCCAATATCAGTCTCTGTGTCACTTATTTTTCAAGTTACAGCTGATAACCATTTTAGAAAGTTTTTGAAATTCTTAATTACTTGAAAAATGCAGATTAAAACTACAGAAAGATTCCATTTTATGTTAGTATGGTTATGGTCAGGAATACCCATGATTACACATTCTGATGTGAATGTGGGCAAGGGGACCCTTACATACTGCTTCTGGTAAAGGCACAACTCCATTCAGTGATCTTACCTTATCCCTCCAGATTTGGACAGGCTTCCATATCAGCCTGGAGAGGGTTAATCTTCCCCTATGAGAAAGAAAAAGAGACAAGGGAACTGGAAAACAGAAATTCAAAGGGCAATGCCAACCCTGACATCTCTCTCTCTCTCTCTCTCTCTCTCTCTCT